TCAATGGGCTGGCCAAGGAGGGAGGAGGTCATCCTCAGTTCATCTCTGGAGCTGACAGAATGCAGGCAAAAGTCAGCTAAAATCCATGAATCAGCACATCTGTGTTGGATAGGTGACATAATTACAAATAAAAGTTCATCTTATTGTTTTATTATTCAGGTGATGCAGTCACTAAAATATGCCCTGCAGCCAGCTGTGCAGGATATTTCTGTCACCTGGGATTTACCACAAGGAGTGTCTGCCACCATCCTTTCTCCACCAATCACAGCAATTTTTCAGGGTCAGAGGTCACTGATTTATGCCCAGCTCACTGGACAGGTAGAATCACCACCATCTGATCTCAATGAAGCCTTTTTATTTTATTGAGGCTTGGACAGTAAAATATTAAAATAGTTTTAATTTGTGTTTTTATTGTGTCCTAACTTGTCAGAGTTCAGAGGCAGCAGAGGGCTCTGTGATGGTGAAGTACACCCTGGCAGGTCATCCCTCTCAGGACCAGCTTCACTTCAGGCTCAAACCYGCAGAGGACACTGGGTAAACAGTTTTGTCTCATGCTTTGATAGTCATAAGTTTACTTTTATTATCTGTTGAAACAGAAGGTGGGCAATATTGTATGCATCATGTAACCTAGTGTATTACGTATACGTAGGCATGGCGTGCTGCCAGACTTTTGTCTTTTTTTTAGAGACAGCGCCAGCGGAGAAGTTGGCAACAGGTCCTAGTATTATCAACATAGCGCTCCAATACTGCTTAGCCCCTGGCATCATGTTACTGCTCTTCTACCAACATAGTGGCTCTAACACCAGGCTTWGCAAGTTTTCTGTGAGAAACCCTAAATGTGTGTGTTGATTTGGCTTTTTGTGTGTTTGTATAATAATCCATGGAGCACTACATTGATTTTATTGAAAGCTGCAGAAAATATTCATCATTTCTTAATACTTTATTGAATCATTGAAAAGACTCTTAGAGAGGGTTTCATGTGGGGAAACTGTTGCCCTGTGTGTCCTCAGTATCCAGGTGTACAATAACAGTCCCCTGAATGGATTTAATTCGTTTAGACGGGGGGAAAAGTTCTGTGAGATCCACACCTCCTTCCGCCATCTTGCAATCTGGCTGGGACAATTCACCTCCCGGCATCAAAGAGCTCTTTGGTACATTTCCTTTTGTTGTGGTTCATTGTTGTGCTGCAAAAAAGTATCCACAGTGAAGCTGAAGCTTTTTATTCTAGAACTTGGCTAGGTGAACCTTGCTGAATTTTATTGACCACTGCTCTAGGATGTTGGAGCAGAGCTCYAATCAGTTGTTGAACCAAATATTTAGGAGGAGTTACAGGAACATGTCTTTATCCTCACTGGTACTTTGGCTTATGAGTTGGTTTTTGAGTCTACATGTGCTTATTGATCTTGGAGCTTATGATTGTRTACCATGAGAGATTTGTTTGGGCTGCACTGGGATCTTGTTTTGGAACTTCAGTGTTACAAATGGGGYGGCTRTGGAAGRGTGGTTAGGGGAGTCGTCCTGGAACCGGAAGGTCGCTGATTCGATCCCCCATCCAGCTGTCTCAGTTGTTGTGTCCTTGGGCAAGACATTTCACCCCTGATGTCTCTGATGTGTGTCCCATCAGTGTATGAATGTGATTGGCACTGATTAGTCTCCATAGATGATTGTATGTTAGCTTTGTAGAGACCTAATAGAGTGCTGTGTGAATGGGTAAAAGAGGACACAGATTGTAGTGTGAAGCACTTTGAGTGTCCTGAATGGATAGAAAAGTGCTATATAAGTACAGTCCATTTTCCATTTACCATTTACAAATTAGGGCTGCAAGATATTGGGAAAACCTGCGATGTATGATAGCAGAGCTATCACATCGGGGTCACCAACTGAAAGGTAACATTCTTTTTACTTTGCAAGTTGAGAACCAGGAGGAGGAACCAGTGACCCTGAATGGACGAAGCAGGTATAGATGATGGATGGATGGATGGATGGATGGATGGATGGATGAAGTGATCCATCCAATTGGCCAAATACGTGAAGGGCTCCATTTGATTGGTGAAATGCTTCAAACTTCTGTCTGAGTGACAAAATTCATGAATAACTTTTGAKTCAACCATTTATTGCAGTTTTTGCAGTTTCAGCTTATATGCTTATAGCTTATATGATGAATTTTCAGTCTTTTGGGTAGTCCTATTACAAATCTGCTTTTTCAGATTGTGTTGATGTCTTAAATCTACAACTTTCAGCGTGCACTAAGGCAGTTTACATCAGAGTATGTAGGGACTGGGATGAGAGTCAGTAGTGTGTCCTTCATGCCAGAGATRAAGGAGGAGGAGTTTAACTATAATCTTATTTACAACTGTTGATCGGATGAATATTTAATAATGTAGATGGATCACGTTTTTATCTCAGTAAAAAGTTTGTTGCCTGTGTTGTCTGTGGTGGTAAAGAATCTGAGCCAATCAGATTTTTTTTATATTTACACACACACACACACACAGTGGTGGTAAAGAATCTGAGCCAATCAGATTTTTTTTTTGGTACAATCAACAATCAATTCAGAGTAGAGCAGATCCTCCAACTCTAAAGAATGAACTGAGGAGGTTTATGGTTCTCRGTGGTGGGCACAAGCCCGCTAAAGCACAAATCCACTAATAGCGGACCTAAATATTTCATTTGCCCTTTAGCGGACTTACTAATTATTATAATTCATAAGCGGATTTGTGCTTACTAAAATGAAAAAGCAGTACCGCTAATAGCTAATTATTTACCAGTCATCATTATCTTGAACGGCGGAAGGTAAGGCTGTCAATGAGTCACAACACACGTGTTGTGTCTAACAGCACCCCTCCCAGATAAACACGTGTTGGGAAGGTATACATCCTTCCTGACTGTCGCTCTGAGCCACAGTTTTGATTTACCACAATGCTTTGTGTCTGCTTACGTAGCAGGAAGGCACCAGCAAAAACAGTAAATGTTTGTATTCCATACTAAAATTTTGTATGTATTGATTTATTTTACTTTACAATCAGAGTTCCTTTAAAAAAAAGTTTAAATGTTGGAGCTCAAAAGCAATCAGATAACGGTGTTAGAGACTCAGAAATGATTTAAAGATGTTATGCTGGTGAAGACTGACATTTAGTGGTCAACTGGAGCAACGACATGAAAACATCCTTATCCAGGTAGAAAAAGAATCAAAAAGACAAAATTACTAGGTCTTCTGGATGGCTTCTTCTTTAGTGAAACGTTTCATCTCTCCTCCAAGAGACTTCTTCAGTCTGATGAGTTTCAGGTGATCTGGAAAACTTTAAAATCCAACGGAAACATGAAAAACTTTAAAATCCAAGCTCTTATTTTGAAGGGAAGAGACTAGTTTCCTGTTCCTCGTGCTTTCGTTTCCCGTCAGTCCATCGTGTACCCAGAATGCATCGCTTCAGTTTTCCAATAAACAGTTTTAAAATTACTTTGTTGATGCTTCTTTRATGAAAAATCTACAACAAACAAAAGAAAAAGACAAAGAAGCAGCCGAACTASCAATTCTCATCAACTTTTTAAAGAAGCAGCTGAACTAGCAAGCCTCAACAATGTTTAAATCTTTACACCATGAGCCAATGTTCTGTTTCAGGAAGTCACATCCCCAGCAATCAGCGGTTGTAGAATTTAGTTGTACAAGGGTTCATGCACCGCTAGTTGGCAGTATTGTGCATATTGTCCATTAATTGTCAGCTAGTAAGTGTCAAATTGAAAATGTGCTTCAAAATTAGCTTCCTCTAGTTTTTCTATGACATAAGCGTTTTTGAAGTAGCGGACCTAAATATTTTCATAAGCGCTTTAGAAATTGCGGAGCTAATTTTTGGATTAGCGCTGCCCACCACTGATGGTTCTGATCAGGACGAGTTCTAGTCTCACTTTTTAGGTTTCTGAAGACATCTTTCTGCAAGGAGACCCTCTGTGTCCAACTTTGAACGAGTTGATGGATTCTTGTTTAGCCTCATCTTATTTGTCTGAAATATTGGTAATCATTTCCTCCTCCCTCATCCATTTTCTTCCCTGGACAATGAATGTAAAAGTATTCTTCTATCTCAAATAACAAAAACTACAATAGAAGCTTTCAACCTCCTGTCTGCAGATTAACAGTCCACAGGYTGGCTGCTCGCTCTGTGATTCAGTGTCTGGAGTCAGAGGAGAGACAACACAGAGGACAGCAGGATGATGAAGAGAAGAAGAAAAAGGTGGTGGAGCTCAGTGTCCAATCAGGAGTGAGCAGTTCTTTCACTGCTTTCATTGCTGTTAAYAAAGAYAACAAAGAGCCAATTCAAGGACCTCTGGTGCGCAGAAATATTCCAACACCTTTCTATGGTGGTGAGTGGTTTTATTTTAATGTTTGTTATATTTTTCAAACCTAGTTCTATTTGTTTTATGTTGTGCTTATTCAGATTACACTTGTAAAAGTAATGCCGTTTTACACAAACTAATTGCAGTATTTTATAAAAAGTGGTTTATTCTGTTTTTTTTATATTTAACCTCAAATGTTCTGTTTTCCTTAAAGATAGTTCAGCATCCTTTAGAAGGAAGCTGGACAGTTTCAGGTTCTGTTTATTCTAAGATGAACTTTTTACTTTGAGTCATTGGCATCATTCAGGCTTGGCACCAGTCTGATTACTGGCTGACCTGGTCACAAGCTGACAGCTCTGACTGTGTAAACCTTGTAATGCATGTCCTGAGTGACCAAATAATTATCTTTCCTACTCTAGCTCTGTCTGATTTAAAAGCTTAAAACAAATAAACAAACAACAGAGAGAAAAGAAAACTTGTAAACATCCAAGTACAGTTCTGCTCATATAGAGTCAGAGTTAGTTCCTGACAAACACATCTTATGGTGACAAATTTACATGTGGCCATTGTTCCCAAAACTTAAACTGCTCCTGTAATGTGTGTGTGTGTGTGTGTGTGTGTGTGTGTGTG